GATGGTCGCTTTATCACTCGGTGACGTCTGGTGGCTCCGCTAAACCCCGTTCGGGGTCGCTCACGCAGCAAGGTCCATTGGGGCAGGGCATGGCGGGAGCCTCGTTCTCCGACCTCTCGGCCGAAAGAGCGACTCCCCCCTAGTGCGCCCTAAAGCGCCCCGGATCCGAGCTCCTCTCTCCTGAGGGGCTCGTTCGGGTCTCCGCTTGCGCGGATTCCCTCCTCCACCGCGGGCGGGCGAGGTGCCCTCGGGAGCGACCCGAGGATGCGTCCGCCATACGCGGGAGCCAGACCGGAAGCCAGGACCACCAAAAGATGTTGATTTGTGGACCTCAGTGCCCTACAGGGCTCATATGGGAAGAGGCAGTCTCAAAGGTATGCTGGCCCCTGGCCATATAGGGCTTTAAAGGTAAGCCACCAGCACCTTGAAACGGATCCAGAATTCAATAGACGGCCAGTGCAGTTCACGCAGCACTGGGTGGATACGAGCCCGCACAGGTGTCGCCATCAATACCCGTGCTGCCACATTCTGCACTAGCTGCAACTTCTGGAGCAGAGTCAAAGGCAGCCCGACATAGAGAGAGTTACAGTAGTCCAGTCTGGAAGTGACCATTGCATGGGTCACTATAGCTAGGTCCCATGGGGTGAGATACAGTGCCAACTGCCTGATCTGTCTCAGATAGAGAAGGGCAGACCTGGCAGTGGCGGTGACCTGGGTTTCCATAGAAAGGGAGGCATCCAGGAACATGGGAATTTCCCCCATGGGAAGTATATTCCTGATCTACTGTTTGGCATCAGGCTGTTTTGAAACTCCCTGCAGCTTGGAACAGAATAGCGGTTCTGTGCTCCCAAGGCTGGTGACTCCCCTTAAGAGGGTCAGAGGATGCCCGTTGTTCACACCAAATTGCTTAGATGAACATAAGAACATCAGAAGAGCCTGGCTGGATCAGACCAATCGTCCATCTAGTCCAGCATCCTGTCTCACACAGTGGCCAGGCAAACAGCAGAGCATAGAGGCCGGGGCCTTCCCCTGATGTTGCCTCCTGGCTCTGGGATTCAGAGGTAGACTGCCTCTGAACATGGAGGTTCCCCTCTGTCACCAACGCTAGTAGCCATTGACAGACTCATCCTCCATGAATCTATTTAATCCCCCTTTAAAGCTAACTGTCTTCTTGGCTAATATTGGTAGTTCAATCATAGTTAACAGAATTAAATAGCCCAGCTGTAGTTTGCTAGTGGAAGTCCTGTAAAATCAGGTCCTCCTTATTTATGGGACCATCCCGATCTCCAGGCACTCAGAGTGAATTCACATGTTCCATAAACCTGTTAACCAATGTTTCCTTTTATTTATACGGTGATTCATTTTAATATGGAACATTTTCTTCCATGGATTTTCCTGAATCCAACTCCCCCTTGGGATATACTATTTAAAAAACAAAACAAAATAGAAAAGGGGACTAGGGAGCTTAGGCTGAGATCTCCGTTCGTCCATGTAAGCTCCTCGGGTGACCAGTTATGTGCGCCCAACCTGACCTACCTCCTCCTCGGAGTGCTCTTTTGAGTATCTAGTGAAGGAGGAAAAATCATGTACGCTTTGAGCTCCTCGAGACCAGGCAGAATGGAAATGTGATGGATCGGCAGCCACAGTGTTGTAGATCAAGGTGGGAGAATCCTTAACAGAAGGAGGGGGAGAGACGTGCTGAATGGAAGAAATTTGGTTGGTAAATGCTTAAAACGAAGACTTACTAAAGGGCATGACTGAAAATGAAGGCTAGATCGAGGTTGGAGTTGCTACAGAACTAAAACGGTTTACCAGGAGAGACAGCTTGAGAGAAAAGCAGAAAACACAGCTTCATAGCGGGGAGAGAGAAAAAGAGAAGGAGGTTCGTGCCATACGTTCACTGAGGCACAAGCGTAAGGCTGTAAATAGCTGCTAGACGAGTTTAGCCAAGGATGAGACGAGTTCAAGAACGCCCCGGGCCGAATGATCCAAAGAGGGCTGGCAGGAGAATAGGAGGTGACACAAATGAAGAGAGCTAGAGAAGGACACTGGGGACAGGAATGGAACGAGAACAGAAGGCCCAGAAGTCTGGTAACTGAATGGTGTCCAGAAAGAGGAACAGGCAAATGAGTTTGTTATGGGATCCAGCGGATGGCCCACAGCACGGAAAACGATTTCACTGGGAAGTCTGGGATATTGGTCAGACAGCCAGTAGGAAGAGGAACGTCTCATAGGCAAGAAGGGGTGTCCGGAGACAGCCCTTTTGGGTCACTGGCAACTTCCTTCCTGCTGCGTCACCTGGCCCGTTCCCTTCCCAAGGCTGTGAGGGGTGCTGGTTTCTGTCCTCCCGCTGTCATTTGTCTGATTTATGGCCCTGAACGGGGCACTGAGATTCCATTCAGCAGAGGGGCCTGTACCTGGCTGGTGTGGTCTGTTGCTTCCCGTCGGCTGTTGCTGCAGCTCTTCACTTCTCTGGCACTTCCAGATTTTCCAGCTATCTGGGCACAGTGGCTGGCTGTACCTGCCCCCACATTGGCACTCTTGCACCGTTCAGTTTGGCACCACTTCCATTTACAGGCTCCCAGTACTACTTTGGTCTCAGATTTCACTCAGATTTATTACAGTTCTGCAGGGCCTGCAAGATGGAGCTCTTCCGCCAGGCTTTTGGTTGGGGCAGCGGACGTTTCCCCCCCCCCTTGGGCCCCCTCCATCTGTAGCCTGGGTCTATCTGTAGTCTGGGTCTTTGGGATCCTAAATTTAAAGATCTTCATAACAAAAACTGATTTTAAGATCATCAACCACTGAAGCATCTGACTTTTATTAGAGTGGTATGGTACTTATGTGCAGTGTTCCCTCTAAGCTGAGTTAGTGTGAGCTAGCTCACAGTTTTTTAGCCTCCAGCTCACAGATTTTTGTCTTAGCTCAGGAAGGTTGGCTCTAGAGCAAACTAATTGATGCAGTAGCCAAATCGCTTGCTCACAACTTTAATGCCAGTAGCTCACAAAGTAGAATTTTTGCCCACAGGACTTCACAGCTTAGAGGGAACATTGCTTATGTGTTGTTATGTCATGTATTTTACACTGTGTTTTAAAATGGTTCTAACTGTATTGCACTTTTGCTGTTGGGACCCACCCTGAGCCTGTCAAGGGGAGGGTGGGATACAAATCCAATTAAATAAGTAATACAACTTCCACCACCCCTCAGCTGTGGATTTGGCATTCTGTGAGTCGGCACGATTGTGAGTGTCGTTCAGATACTGCCTCTCACCACTTGGCCTCATCTTACCTGTCTGTAAAAGGAGAATAAAAATGGGCTACTTTGGGAGGGGGCCGTCGTTCGAAGGGAAGGACGAGAGAACGGAACGTGGCTTCGGCAAGGGGGCGTGCTGGGGGGACTTGCACGCTCACTGACATCTCTGTCTTCTGCAGGGGAAAGAAGGCGTTATTGGACCGCTTGGAATTCTGGGTCCAACAGGAAGCCCTGTAAGTTTTCTCTCTGGTTCATTCTGACTTAAGTGGAGAATAGACACAGCAAGGCCCCATCGGCTCTGGGGACAGACACTTCCGTGGCTCCCTTTTCGCTCCTCACGGGTGAATTGTCCCTGGCTGCTTGTGGGCCTCTGTGGGGGAGATGCTTGTGGGCCTCTGAGCCCTTCTCCTCAACACCCTGCCCTTCCCCACCTCCCTTGGGATGGCCAAGCTACACAGGCTGCTCTTCTTCTTCTGGGCTTTCACACCCACCCCCCAGCACTGCTCTGCCTCCTCCATCCCTAGCAGCCTGGGCACCCCTCCCAGCGGGTTTGCTGAGCTCCTCTGTGATCTGGCCAACAGGGTCGCCAGAGGTCCAGTGACTTAGCCGCAGTGTGTCCATCTGACTGCGTGAGTCGGGTGTCTCCCCTGAGTCATAACATCAGGCTCTGGAGAAATGAAATGCACCCCAGGCAAAAATGAGGGCACAGAGAGCCAGTTTGGTGTAGTGGTTAAGAGTGCAGGCTCTAATCTGGGAGAACTGGGTTTGATTCCCCACTCCTCCACATGCAGCTGCTGGTACGACCTTGGGTCAGTCACATTTCTCTCAGAGCTGTTCTGGAAAGAGCAGTCCTTTCAGAGCTCTCTCAGCCTCATCTATTTCACAGGGTGTCTGTTGTGGGGAGAGGAAGCAAAGGAGATTGTAAGCCACTCTGAGACTCCGAGTGAGGGCCGGGGTATAAATCCAATCTCCTTCTCCTGAGTTTCTCAGACTACCAGGGGTCATTTCCTGCAGGAGCGCACAGGAGTGGAGCTCCGGCAGTAAAGAGCCCAGGGGGCGGGCACATGCAACAAGCCCCGCCCCCTGCTCCCAGCAGCCCCGGGCCACGAGGAGCACAAGGATCTGCACTCCCCCCCCCCGATGGCTAGCAATCCAAAACAGTCCAGTGGAGCCTGCGCC